ATTTTTAAGCCTTATTGAGTTGTTATATAATGAGTTACATATCAACCTAGGTTGTTCCAAACTGAAAAGGCATTCCCATTGTAGGGGAAGCTGTAGCCACGCCTGCTTAGGGGCTGGCTACAGGTTCCCCTACACCCCTAGTGCATCTATCAATCACTTATTCATTAAGATTCGATCTCTCAAGTTGCAATAACTTCTCAAAATCTTTATCCTTGAAATTTGCATAGGGGGAATAAGTCTTCTACATAGGATCCTTTCAGAACACTTCATGCTCATCCTGTAATTCTGTGCTAAAATTAAAGTAACTGTGGTATTTACATTCCTTCCTGAACGTTCCAGGGGATAATCAATTTCTTTTCCAGTTAGAGTTTCTTCTAGAGACTACTTACTTTCCCCAGCACATGGTCCATTCTTCACTCTTCAACATTAATAATACCACATCTAGCTAATATTCTGCTGAGATCATCCAGATCAATCCCTTTTCTGTGATTCATCTAATATTATTATTAGTTATTAGAGATTCTGTACACATAACAATTTAATTAAATTCACCCCTGTTTCTGCTAATTCCATAACACGCATCTCCCATTGCCCTTCCCAACTTAGTATCCTCCTTTTAAAATTTGTAAAAGATATTTTAAGTTTTAAATTTTTGTGTATGAATGCTTCATTTGCATGTATGTCTGTGCACAGTGTGTATACAGTGTCACATTTGACAAGAATATGGAATCTAATCCCCTGGAATTAGAGTTACTCATTGTTTGTGAACCACCATGTGGCTGTTGGGAAAGAAAGCATGGGTTCTCAAGAAGAGTAATCAATGCTCTTAACCACTGAGCCATCTTACCAGTCCCAGTCATTATTGAAAATAAATAACCCACAGAATCCAGCTTGTGTTACTCATGGATATGGGACCATCTACTGGAGAATGGAGGACCAACCCGAGGCCACAGCCTAAAGAAAAATGACTTTTGCCCAGAAACCATTAAGTGTCAGTAGTTCTTCAATGAACTGTGAGGGCTGTGATCCTCACACCTGCTTGATGTTGGAATGATTATTGTATTGATCCTGTACAGGTCTTGTGCAGATAAGCATAGCTGCTGTGAGTTATGAGTTTAACAGTGATGTCAAGTTCAGAAGTCACTGTTTTGATCTATCCTCCGCCACATCGGGATCTCACAATCTCACTCTACCTCTTCGGCAATGAGCCCTGAACCATGCAGGGAAGGGTGATACAAATGTGTGATTTATAGCTGAGTACTTGAGAGGCATGTATTCTATGAACTTGGAGCAGTTTTGAGTTTCTGTGTTAACTTCTGATTACTATGTAAAGCAATTCCTCTGATAAGATCTGGGAGCTGGAATAATCTATGAACATTGAAGGAGACAGAGCTTCCTACAATTATACAACTTCCAACAAGGTTATAATTTTTATTTTTATAAAGCACCATTTGAGTGCACATAACTCGTAAATGGTACATTGTTCTTTAATTAGTGATAAACAGGAAAATATTTTCTATCTGAATATGATACAAACTTATTATGTAATTTTTAGTAGGCCAGCTTGTTCACTTAGAGGAAGAAAGATTTGGTTAATTGCTTGTTTATTTAAGACAGGCTCTCACTCTCTAGCCCAGGCTAGTGTGGAATGTGCCAAGTTTCTAAGGATGGCCTTAAACTTCAGGCTATCCCTCTGTCACAGTCTCGCAAGTACTAGAATTACATCCATGTGCCACCATGTACACCTTCTAAATTGAGGGATTTATATTATAAAGCCTGCAAGATCTGTTTTTATACAAAATATGACAGACAAGATGAAAAGATAATGTACTCAGTAACACATACTAATTATAGATGGAGTATTGTCAGAGACTCTCTGAAATATGTTAGACTGTCTTATCATAATTTATGTATCTAGCTAGATGTGATATTACCAAAGGAAGGGTAAGTTTTTAAGATGTCCCAAGAACAAAGCAATGAATTAAAATTATGTTGTGAATTATTATATACATATTTTAAAATGGAAAATAATATAATTATGTGTTATATACATATAAAATCATAGAA